GAGGAGGAGGAGGAGGAGGAGGAGGAGGAGGAGGAGGAGGAAGGTAGACAAATAGATAAGACCAATCAATAACAAAGTATGAGAAAATTCAGTCTCAAGATCCAAACCCAGGAGCGAGCAGGTCCAGGTCTGTAAACTGAGATCTCTCCAGGATGAGCAGTGCTAAGAGCTCTTTACTAAGGCCCATCTGTGACCATCATGGAGACTATTTCACAAAGATGCTCGTGTGAAACTCAAGACTGTCTACACTCTTTTATTGAGACTTGCATACATGCATATAATGTGTTATGATCAAATCCAACCCCCACTCCCTCTTCTCTTTCAGAGCCTATGAGCTACTCTGCCACAGGTTCTCACCCCAGTTAACAGCACTAGGCATGACTTCCAGTCTGTGGAATGGGCCTCAAATTTGACTGGACAGTGGTTGGTTGCTTCTGCGACATTAAGGCCACTATTGCACAAGTTGGGATATCTTGTCAGGCCAGTGGTTAGTGTAGTTCATTGGGTTCACAGCTGGGTAACGCCTGTTTGTTCATTTTCTCCCCAAATTGTGCATAGAACCTTCTAGCACTATGAACCTTCTGGCACCCCTAGCCAGTAGGGGTGAAGCTTCCAGGTCAGTAATAGGTCAATTTCTCTCTGTCCTCTGGCTCAAGTACGTGGTGTCTTCAGCAATAGGGTCTTACCATTAAGTTCTGGAGGATGATCAAGAGCAATGGTAATGCCCTGTAGTGGTTTTTTTTTTAGTGTGTGTGTGTGTGTGTGTGTGTGTGTGTGTGTGTGTGTGTGTGTGTGTATGGTGTCTGTGGGATCCTACCAGCCAACAATTTGAAAAGAGGCAACCCATACTTGGCACTGGGATTTTTATCTGATAACCTGTGGTGTCTGGGAGAGGCATTGTTCCTTGGTTATAGAGTAGCTTCATATAAACTCCTTTTATATATGTATATAATCTAGGAAACTTCTACGGGAGGTTTCCATATGGTATTTTCAAAGGTCTTTAAATGTTTTACCCTGCCCTTCCATCCCCCATTCCACTTAATCCTTTCTGTTTCATTACTGTCTTCTTTTCCCCTTCATGTGTTCTCTCCTGCTTCTCTTAAAATTCCACCATGGCCCCTCACTAGTTCCCTGTCTTCTCTGGGTGCTCCAATTTAAAGTATGTAAAGTTCAAAGTTAGTAGCCACGTATGAGAGAGAGAACATTGACATCTGTCTTTCTGCATCAGGGTTACCTTACTCAGAATGATTATGTCTAGCTTCATCAATTTACTTGCAAATTTAATGTTTTTTTTCTTTACAGATGAATAAAATTCTGTTTGGTGTGTGTACACATTTTTATTATCCATCTATAGTTGGCAGAGAACTAGGCTGTTTCCAGTTTTGACTATTGTGAATGGAATAACAATGAATATGGATGAGCAATATCTCTGTAGCTTGATACAGAGTCATTTGAACATATGACCAGGAGCGGTATAGCTGAATTGTATAGTCGATTTCTCTCTCTCTCTCTCTCTCTCTCTCTCTCTCTCTCTCTCTCTCTTCTTTCTTTCTTTCTCTTTCTTCCTTCCTTCCTCCCTCCCTCCTTCCCTCCCTCCCTTCCTCCATTCCTTCCTTCCTTTATTTATTTTGAGGCACCTCTACACTAATTTCCATAGTGGCTGTACCGATTTGTACTTCCATCAATAGTAAATAAGTCTCCCCTTTCCCCAATATTGAAGCCAGTACTTATTGCCATTTATTAATTTTTAAATTTTTTACTCTCTTCATTAGTTTCTGGAGGAGACTTGTCTGTGTTTGTCCTCTATAGTGGCAGTCACAGTACTTTGCAGAATGATGCATTGAAAGCGATGACCCCTTTCTAAGTTCTCTGCTCTGGGCTGCTGGACACATGCTTGGGATAGTTAGCTTTGATTAACCAGGGTAGGCTATAGTCTCGAAGATGATGCTGTGAAGTTTTCTTTGACGAGATTATAAGCATTCAAGCCACAGACTTTACATAAAGCAGACCCCTCCCTCACAACACAGCTGTGCCTCATCTACTTTGTTGAAGGTCTTAAAAGACTGAAGAAGTGGGATTGGAGAGATGGCTCAGTGTGTAAGAGCACTGGCTATTCTTCCAGAAGACCCAGGTTCAATTCCCAGAACTCACATGGCAGCTCACAGTTACTATCTGTAGCTCCAGTTTCAGGGGATCTGACACCCTCATGAAGACATACATGTAAGCAAAACACCAATGCACATGAAATAAAAATAAATAAACAAGGAAGAAGGTCTGTCTGGGACTTCGGACTGCAGCATCAGCTCTTCCCTGGGTCTAGCTTTCTGGACTGTCTTGCACCTGCCCTGTGGATTTGAGACTTGCCAGCTCCCACAGTTGTGTGAGCCAATTCCTTAAAATAAATCTCTCTCCATTACACATACCCTGTGAGTTCTAATTCTCCAGTGAACCCCTACTAACAACTCCTTCTTGTTGCAGGACACTGTGAAGTTCAATATGCTATTTTGGATGAAAATATGTTTGGGGTAAAGATAGTTTTATTTGGAACTCATTTATTAGGGTGAGACCCAAGATTGGAATCCTTTTTTAAGTACATGAACAAGATAAACATCCCTCTTTAGTTCACTTTCCATTGGGGAACAAAAAATGGTACAACCATTGACATTTGGATATGTGCTGGAATTGGGTTTTATTTGGGAACCACAACCTTGGGTCCCTTAGGAAGCATAAATACTTAGCCCAGTGCATACCCCAACTAGGTGGCGACAGTCTGTTAAGTTTTCCTTGGAAACTTGTGGATCTGTGTTTAGCCAGTAGGAACTCTGAGCAGAAGTACTAAGAAACGAGCCATCAGAGTCTTCCTGTTTAAAAAGTGTGTGGTGTAGCTGGTGTTGGCATCTCTCTCAGTCTCTCTCTATCTCATATACTGAGGTTCTCTCACTGGAACCCAGAACTGACCGATGCATCTAGTCCAGCTCATCAGCTTCTTCCAGGGATGGACTTACTGCCTCTGTTTCCTGAGCCCTGGGCTTCCAGGTGCACTAGTAAGTCAACCCAGCATTTGACTGGGAGCAGAGAATCAAAAAAATCTGGTCTTCACTCTTGTGGGGCAGGCACTTTATCCAATGAGCCATCTTCCCAGTCCATAGTCCTTATAAAAAAAAAAAAAAGATTCATTTTTATTTTATTGAGGTACACATATGAGTACCTGTATGTTTGAATGCATACATCATGCATGCCTGGTGGTCTCCCATACATGCTTCTTGCCCGAGGAGTTCAGAAGAGGGGTTAGATCCCCTGGAAATGGAGTTACAGGAGATTGTGAGCTGAAATGTGTGTGGTAGGAACTGACCCCAGATCCTCTGCAAGAGCAGCAACTGATTTTTAACCACTGAGCCATCTCTCTAGGTCCCCACATATCTCTCTCTCTCTCTCTCTCTCTCTCTCTCTCTCTCTCTCTGTATTTTTGTCCCTTTTTTGTGTTTATTTTTTACTATGTCTTTATTATTTTTTTTCATTTATTTTACATACTGACCATAGTTTCCCCTCCCTCCTCTCCTTTCTCCCCCACCCCCAGTACCTATTTTCTACCCCTGACCCCATTCACTCCTCTTCCCCAGCTTCATTCAGAAAGGGGCAGGCCTCCCATGGGAATCAACAAAGCATGGCACATCAAGTTGAGGCAGGACCAAGCTCCTCCCCCTGCATCAAGGCTGGGTGGGGCCACCCAGCATGGGGAATGGGTCCCATGTTCCTTTTTTATGCTACAGTTTCCTTCTGTTTTTGTTTATTAAATGTCCCAGTGAAATTATTTTTGCTATTGTTCCACAAACACTGTGATACCAGTTATGGAATTCAAAGACTAGAATTTACTTACAAACTCACTGTTCTAGAAATGTAAACTTCTTAAGGGCATCGACGGATCTTGGAGTCTAGGGCAGAGGGTCTCTGGGGAAGGGAAATCTCGAAGAGGCTACTGTCAAACAACTGTTGTTTTCTGCCATGTAATTGACAAGTTGGTCTTCTCAGAGTGGCCCAGCGGAATTGCAAGCACATTTGTGCCCTTTGGAAAGCCCGGAGGCTGTTGGATTTTCACAACAGCTGTCTCAGTGACCCCTCCCGGGCTCAGCTCTCCACTGCCCATTTCCCTTTTTGTCTTCTGAAGCCCGAGCATATGAGACTCTGGCAGCTAGAACAAGGTTGAGAGCAACTGACACAGGAAACGGCGGTGGTTGGACTGATGCCTGCCTGCAGCTGAATGGGGACGCACGGCCAGGTCTTAGCAAGGAAGCAGCTGTCACTCCAAACATCGGGCTGGATGTCACCGGCTTGCTTGTTTCCTTCTTCTAAAGTGGCTTAACTGCCTTAGGAAGGTAACACTAGTGCTTGGACACAGCACCATTCACTCTTCACCTTGCAGTTTAGGAAGGGAGAGAAATAAGAAACAAATTCTCATTTAATGTTTCCTACATTGTATGGGGTGCAGTGTGTGTGTGTGTGTGTGTGTGTGTGTGTGTGTGTGTGTGTGTCCTGCTGCACAGGAGGGTGATTTATGATCACTGCCTGGGTTTGAACCACACTAGCTGTAAGTCACCTAACTTCTTGTGTCATGTACTTTCTGACATGACAACACCATCCCATGATCATGATTATGCCTGAAGCACCTAGGACAGTTTACACACCTGGTAGGTGCTATGCACATGTTTGCTTTTATCCATGTTAGTCAATGTTAAGGCAGTCCCATCTATCCTTTGGAGATGGAGGAAAATGAGGCTCATGGAGATTAAGTCCATCACCGGAGATGGCAGAGCATGAAACCAAACTCAGATTTATCTGCAGCGCCACGCCCTCCCCCCACCCCCCAGCAAGACCAGACATGCTCAATGCTATCAAATGTTCTCTCCTGTTTGCCAGCTTAGGGTTGAGTTTATCAGCCTTTCTTTGTACTGGAGAGGGTGAAATCCTGTATGACTGCCTTTAATCTTTCATTCCATTCATCTCTGGAAAAAAAGCCAATGGTCAACATGCTGGGGGTGGGGGTGCAATCGAAGGGAGCAACTTCCTTCTTCTAGTCCCCCTTCCTAATATTCAGAGCCTTTATTTTAGTCTGGGGGATTTAAGGATGAAGACAGGCTCATAAGACAGCTCTGCGGAGCAGAAATACAGTAAGACACATGTGAAATGTAACTAAGAGTTTCTAACAGCTACACTGAAAAAGTAAAAGAAAAATAAGTGAAATTTAAAGATACTATTTAGCTCAAATATCTTAACCTGGGATCAATGTAAAAATGAAGCAGGGGATATTATCACTTTATGGGGGTATTAAGTGTTAAATTCATGATGTTTTCTACACACACTGCCCTAGAGCATACACGATGCAGCTGTTAATACCCGCAGCCATGCAGACCCACACACTGCAAGTGCCTACTGTATGTATTTATTTAGGCCCACTTTATTCATGTAACTGCGTATGTCTAAAATTGCCTCCCCTGTGTTCATGTTCAAATACTTATGGGGGAAAATTGGCTGAAGGAATAACGGAGTCGCCTTTTCTCCAAAATTCTCCCGTTTTTTTCCTGCAGCTGAGATTTCTTGTGTGGTCACTGACATGATCTGCCCATCTGTACTGCGCACCACGCCATCAGGCATGATATGGAGGGCATTAGTAGGACTCAAGTCTCTCTTTTTCCCTGTCTTGTGCCTCTGTAGGCACCAGAGGGCCTCCACCGATGACAGCAATCAGATCAGCCAAGCAGAGGCTTGATAAGGGTCAGATTTCTTGGACCGGATGACAGGCCAAGTCCGGAGCCCCGGGTATGGCGGGGCGTACTCAGGATGCGCAGTCTGTCCATCACGAGCATCCCAGCATCCGCTTGCGCTCAGCTGTGGCAGATCCGCTAGGGCCTCCGCCTCTTCCAGGGCCTGGAAAACAGCAGGAATCTCCCCGCCTGCCCGGCGTCCTAACTCCCCCGCCCCCGCCCCACAGGACCTAGGGCGGAGTCGCCCACCTGTCACCGAAACGTCCCACGTGGGTCAAGCTGGAGGAGGGGTTGAAGGGAGGGAGAAAAGGCAGAGGCGTGGAGGGAGGCAGACGTGAGAGCCCTGGGAGGAACCGAGGAGAGAGGCTGAGACCTCCCAACAACAGAAGAATCTAGAGGACCCCCCAGACACCTAAAGACAGGTAAGGATGGGGCAAGTGAAAGAAAGGAGATAGAAACTAGGTTCGCGGGAAGAGAAGGAAAAGATGGGAACGAGGGAGGGGCTGTGCATACACGACGAGATAAGATGGATAGCTGCGCTGCAAGAGAACGATTCTAGCCCGAAGACGACGGCTAAGGGTGGGGGAGGAGGAGGAGGAGGAGGAGAAGGAAGCCAGGCGTCTGCACCTTTAAGGTTGCCAAGGCAACCGCTCTGGCCAGAGCGAGGCGCATTGACGTCAGCAGCCGAGCTCTGATTGGCCGCGGTCGGCTCGTTTCCGGTGGAGCCGTCGCGGAGCCGCTAGCGCTGAGTGGAGTGAGGCTGCGAGCTGAATTCACCCCGAGGACGCCCGGTACCCCGGCAGCCTCTCTCCGTGCAAGTCCCGCCCGCGCCGCCGCCCGTCCGCAGGTGAGTGCGGGTCCGCGGGCTG